CAGCCGGGCAGACAGCCTTCTCCGTGGGGAGGCACAAGCCCCCCCTGCTGGACCCGCCTGCTGCCCACCCGGCCAGGTCCTCATCACCTCGTACTCAGCCTCCGGCTCACGTGTCACTGCCCCGAGGACACCTTGCTCCGCCCTCCGGCCACAGGGGGCCCTTCATGACACCCTGTCTCTTCCTCGAAAGCACTCAAGTGGTTTGAGATCCTGCACCAATTGTGAGGTTCTTTGATTCATGTTTCGCCTCCTTTACAAGAAGGAGCCCGTGACCCCAGGGAGCAGGTGGCCCGTGGAACATAGCTCAACAGATGACTGTGTGTAAGTGAAAATGCACGTATCGAGGCCGGTGGCCCCAGTGTCCTCCTCCTGTTCTGGCCAACTTAGCCCCCATCGGTGAGAAGCTTGTACCCACCACCATCCTGCCGAGCCCAGACTCACCCCGCTTCAGTGATTCTCAGTATCACTCCCTTGTGGAGCTGTGATCAGGCCTCCTCGGTCATTTCTCAGTGCTTTCCTACCACTTGGCTGGAACCGTGGTGTCCGAATAATTGGGACATGAAATGTGCCTTCGTAGCCGCCAGCCAAGAAGCTCTAAGTCCACGTGGAATCTGAACAGTGAAATCAAACAACATCTGCAAAGACCTCTGATTTGGGGTCACCCTCCCCCTTTACACCAGGTGACTTGGAAGTTCAATGCAAGCCCGGCTCTGCCTCAGACACACCTGCATGCGCCGTTCAGCCCCACGAGTCTCACTGTCCTCTTTTCTCGGGGTCCTGCTCACCCTCCTTCTTGGTTCTACCCCTGGGGCCCGAGCGGAACAACCCATCACCAGAGCAGGGCTGGGCGAGATGCTCCTTGATGAAACAGAAGAGCCTGCTCTGCCCTCAGCCATGCATCCATCATGGGCCAGCACCACCTGTAGCCAACGTTTCCAGGCCAATCTCAACACTGTTGAAGGAAGATGCCAGGCCTGCTTTCCATAATTGATGGTTCCTCTTGATCTTCTAAGGGAAAACACCATGATTTACGTACACAGACCCTCTAAGTCTTTCCTAACTTGGAATTCTCAAGTTGAGCACAGCAGGAATGCAGACAGTGGTCCAGGCCTTACAGCAGCGTGGAGGGAGAAGGGGAAAGGCCGTGCGTGCCAGCTCAGCTTCTTCTCCGTCCTTCCCTAATCCCAGCATCTAGCGAAGCCACTCCCCAGAGCCCCCTCTCCCTGGAAGACCTGGCAGCCGGGCTTCCCGGGCGGGAGGGTGTTTCATCCCCTAAGAGGAGGTCGCCTGCACAAACTGCAAATGAGAGACCGGATTTCCAGAACGACATCTTCCAGTGTTGTTCTCGCATGAAATACCCTGTCCTGTTGTCCCCGTAAGTCCACATGTGTTTGTCTGGTCTCACGTCCTGATTTAGGGCCCGGAACACAGACTCACCGTGAGTGTGGCCCTTAGTGATCTCGTGTCCACGGGCCACCTTCCCGCAGCTGCTCTGCCAGGCTGGCCTGGACCCAGGGCTCCCGCGGGGACCCCATCACCGGCCCGTCAGAGGAGAGCACTTGGGTGCAGAGAAGTCGCTGTGTTTTCTGAGTGGAATGGGAACAGAAGGAGCTGTTTCGGGGTCAGCTGTGAGCCCGCCCGAGGAGAAGCCGTTGAGACGCAGGCCTTGAGAGCCAGTTACGTGCGGGGGGCTGGAGAGGGGGCTCTGGGGGCCGACCTGGGCCGGCGATGAGGATGGCGGGCAGGGCCTCGGAGGCCGCGGGGCGCCCCCTGGCAGCAGGATGAGCCCCCGCCTGCCCAGCAGATGTCGTGATCATGTGCCACTTGCTTCACAGACGCGGATTGTGGAGGCCGAGAGCCCCGGGCCAGGGCCCACGGGAGGCGTTCAGCGCAGTCGTGCAGCCCCGGGCCTGGAATCAGGCCACGTGGCACCAAGCCCTGTGCCCACCCCTGCCAGCAGCTGTGACGCCATGGGCAGGCCGCTTAACCTCCCTAGAACTCGCGCTTCTCCTCTGTAAATACCGTTAATGACAGCACCTGCGTCCCCAGGTTGTGCCGGGGGAATTGGGGTCATCCACCTGCCCCCAATAAGTCTTCATTACAGGTCGATGAGGGCTGGGGGCTTCGGTGCCCCGAGGCTATCCTTCACCCGCTGGCTGAATCCCCACCAAGGCTCCTCCTGCAAGAGCTTATTCAGTCGCTGCTGTCATCCCTCTGAGGACAGGGAGCTCACTACCTCTTGGAGCACCCTGCTCCACCTTAGGTCTGTTTCTTGAACAGTCTTTGTGTTGAACCTAAATCTTCCTGATTGGTCCTGGCTCCATCCCCATAGTTACGCTGAATTCTGCCAGCTCTGCTTCCCCAGAACAGCAGGTTAAATCCTGTGAAGGTCGTTGACAGCCCCCTCCACGCCTGTGCCGTTCCTACTCCGCGAGTCGGCCTTTTCCCGACGACACACCTCGGTGTCTCCTGAAGATCCTTGAATGGAGTGGTTTCCTGAAGGCAGCCTGCACGCGGAGTCGCTGCCATGTGCCGCGGGGCACAGACGAGAGGACCTGAGGCCGGGGCCGTGCGTCAGGCAGGGAACAGCGTCCGCTGGGGGAACAGCCTGTGCTGATGCGGGGAGGCCTGTGGCCAAAGAAGCTCGGGGCTCGGTTGTGGCTGGAGAGTGAGGCGTGAGCCAGAGTCAGGGGCCGTCAGGCTGGATGTGGAGGCGGGTGACAGGGTGTCGGAGGAGGACTCGCGTCAAGGACATGACACTCTCTGCTTGAGCATCCCAACAGCAGCATGAACACCAGACGGCAGGGAGACCAGCTCACCGAGTAGCCGACCCCAGGGGCCAAAGTGTCCAAAATATACCCCGAGAGGCTAACAGCGGTCCCCTCTGGGCGGTGGGATGACTGATGAGTTCTTTTTGTCCCTGCTTCCCTGTGTTTTCTAATTTCTCTATAATAAGCATTTCTCCTGTGTAATGAGCATGTATTATTTACATAGTAAATGGTATTTATACTTGTGTAAAACACTTCAGAAGCAAATTGGCAGGACTTGGTAACAGTGGGAGGAAGGAGCCTGGGGGCCCAGGTCTGGTCTTGGTGCTCGCGGGCGTGGTGAGGCCACCAACCCCAGCGCATGGCAGGGAGCGGAGCGTCCGGCGGCAACTCTGACGGCCCCCAGCGGTGGACAGAAGCACGGGCTCCTTCGACTTCCTCTGGGCCTCTCCGCAGCCCGGCCTGCAGGCCCGGGAAACTCGCCTGTCTGTTTGCAGAGCTGCCTCAGCGATAAAACAGCCAGAAGAGCACACAGTCCCCGCGTTCACAAAACTCAGCCTGACGTGGGAGACGGGTATAAATGTTTGAAAGCCACTTAATGAACATGTAATTCCAAAGGGAGACTCACGCTCCAAAGCAAAGGAACTGATTCTAAGAAGACATGTAAGAAAGGAGACGTCTGTGCTCTGGGAGCCTGGGGAAGGGTCCCCGGAGGAGGGATGCTTGGGCTGAGAGCAGAAGGGAACGTTGGAGGGAATTACGGAAAAGCGTTCCAGGCCGAGGGAACAGCGCCGACGATGGCCCCGCGTCAAAGGATGGCACGTTTGAGTCTAAAAGAAACGCTGTTTGACCAGGAGTCCAGAGAGCGATTGCCGGGGGGACAGGGTGGACCCACGCCCAGGGCCTTGTAGGGCAGGAGGAGGTCTCCCCATCCCGTGCCCCCCCATTCTCTGCCACGTGGCACTGAAGGCCTGGTCGCGTTCCCCTCGTGGTCTGGGCAGCTGGATCCGGGGACCTCCGTCTCCTCCCGTGAGCAGCGCCCCAGCAGACACCCCAAAAGTCGCTGTGCGCCTCGGTTGTCAGCTTCCTCCGTGGCTCCACACCCTTCACCAGATGTGTGTACAACCTGCTAATTAACGGAGTCATTTGGATCTGAAAGCATCTTGTTCTACTGGGAGGTGGCACAGGCCTCGCATTAATTCACAGGTGAAATTATTCTAGCATTTCTCTTATTTGGTTTCCTCTCCCCGGCTCAGCTTAATGGCTGGGGCGAGTTCTCCGAATTGGACTTGTGAACCCCACTCCTCCAGGTCACAAAGGCCCGGGGACCGCCTCGGGGCCTGGGGACAGGGTGCCCAGCCTTAGCTCGCCAGCGCCGAGGGCGGTGGGTGAGCAGGGGTGACGTCCCCAGTGCAGGAGAGGTGGAAGGGTGTCCGTGGCTGGTGGGTGAGTGAGAGACACAAAAGGTGGCCCGCGGGGGGTGGCTCAGAGGAGGAGGTCCTGCTGTGCTGTGTCTAAGGCAGCCCCCCCGCTGTGGGAAGGGGAGCCCGACCCTCCCGCCCTTCCCTCCTGGGGCATGGAGACAGCACCCAGCCGTTGACGGACGGCTTTCTGGGGCCTGGGGTAGACCTGGGGGCTTGAGGGTGACTACCATTTACAACGACCGAGTGCAACATCTCGTTTAAACAGGCGACATTCTGGGTTGGTATCTACGGCTCAGCTTAGAACTGAGGGGCCCTTCTCCCCATAAGACAGTGGGGGGTAAGTCTGCAGACCCTTGGGGCGTGCAGACAAGACCCGCTGCGAAAGAATGTTTTTTATTTACCCTTTTTTATTCCCTGAAGGGATCTGGGTACTTGAAAAACAATTTATTGTGGTAATAGATGCAAGCCAGAATGTCCCGTTTGACCGCTTCTAAGTGCACAGTTCAGTGGCACGAAGCCAACGTCACCGCCATCCGTCTCTAGGACTGTCTCCATCTTCCCCAACTGAAATGCCCTTAGAAGGACAGCATCTGCCTGTCCTTCCGTCTGAAGGTGGCCCCCAGGGAGGTTTGGGGTCAGGCCCCCCTGGATCCAGCTCCCCCGGGGTGTCACTCTGACCGTGTAACCTGGCGCCTCGGTTTCCTTACCTGAAACTGGGGTGCGAGACCCGTCGGCGGGGAGAGGGTCACGGCAGACGGCGCGAGCTCCAAGTGGCGGTGGGTGCACAGAGTCGGCTTTGCCGTTGCAGGTCTCCAGGTGGTTCTGAACTCCATCATCAAGGCTATGGTACCCCTGCTGCACATCGCTCTGCTTGTGCTCTTTGTCATTATCATCTACGCCATCATCGGGCTGGAGCTCTTCATGGGGAAGATGCACAAGACCTGCTACAACCAGGAGGGCATCGCAGGTAAGGGGAGCGCCGTCCACCCGCGGCCAGCTGGGGAGGCCCTGCCGTCGAGCACCTGCGTTTCCACGGCCAGGAGAGGCAAAGATTGTATTTTTTTCTCTCAGTTCTAATTTTTGTTTTTACTAAAATGAGTCTCTGTTAAAATAGCTAAACACGAGTGTTGTCCGGCACTGCTAAGCATTCTTTAAACGAGGCGCCTAGCCAACATTGAATATTTTAAGAATCGGAGCTAACCTGGGGACTGCATGTCTCTGCCCCCTTGTCCCCCGTGTAGCTTGTCACCAAAGTGCCCTCCGGGGGAGACCTCGCCCTCAGCTGGTGTCTCTCCCATCACAGCCCTGGGTCGTCCGTCTCGGTGTCTCTGCCTCCCGTCCGGGGCCCCCAGTCCAGGAGGGGAGGACGGCCAGCAGGAAAACTCCTTTTCCTCCAGGAGGTGTGTCTGTACCTCGGGCATCCGCCGGCCTGACACCCTCCCTCTGCGTCCCTTCCATAAATCAGCGCATTCAACGAGCCGTGGTACTTGCTGGGCTCTCGCCGGTAGGACTGGACTTTGGGCTTGACCGACATGCGACAAACTGCTGTCTTCAGCTACTGAGTCTTAGCTGGACCTTTAAGAAAACATTTCAACAGAGATCAACATGGCTTTTAAACAAAGTAGTTTAACACAGAAACTTGTTTAAAAAAAAAAAATACCCCCGAAAGGGGTTAGCCATGTTCGACTTATGTGACTTTTTTTCAAACAACAAGATCTTCCATCTTAGTTTCTGGCACCTTAGGGCAGAAAGGGGAGCGTCTGTCGGAAGCATTGCGAGGCCTTCTTTCCCCTTCGTGTCCACTGCTTCATGCTCCCGCTCAGCCCAGGCAGTAAATTAAACTTGACGCCCCTCCCCGGGGGTGGGGAGAGCATCCATACAGGAGGCAGTGAAATGGATTGATCACAATCAGAAACCAAATGGATCCCCTGATCTGAGTCATCTGGACGAACTGGCCGGGTGTTTGCATGTGGCCACAGTCGAAACAAAAACCCAAAACTATAACCTATAGTCACAGACTCACGCAGTTGTTTTTACTTCTTTGATGGCAAGTCTAAGAGGAGACCATTTCTTCACTGTAGGGAGAATGTCTTGGGTCATATTATATCAAATAAACTGTCACGTTAAAAAAAAGAAGCTGTTTTAAAATTGAAGGGATTAGATCTTGACTTTAGTTAAAATTCTGAGATTTCCAGCCTTGCTTAAAGAAATACCCAGTAATGCAATGAATAATATTCTCCCCTTTAATTCAGATCCTTCCTTTTGTTGGGTTCAATCTGTAGCTGCCCAGAAACAATAAATTTATGTTAATTGTGTGGCTTCCTTAGAGCTCGTTCTAAGACCTGCTTCAGAGCCACCACAGAACGTCTAAAATTTATGCCGTTGTACTGAAATGGCCAACGACCCGTTTGACCCAGACTCCTCAGGCCAGTGCGGGGATGCCGGGTCCGAAAGGCCCCATCAGCCGGGCGATGGGTGGTGCAGTGGCTCTCACCTGCGCACCAAGGGGTGGTGGGGAGATGCACTGGCACTCTGTGCTGAGTGGCCGCGCCTCCACACGTCTGTCCTCGCTGAGCGGGAGAGCTGCTCGCACACCGCCCCTGGTCTCTGCCATCTGACAGGGAAGCAGTGAAAGTGGCTTTTCCGCGGCCTGCAGGATCCTACGGGGGCTGTGCCTGCACCGCCTGGAAGTCTCTGACTTTGTGGTCCTGCCTTCAGTGGCCTCAAACAGCCAGAAAACAGTGGGCGTGATGGGCAGGGTGATGGGCTCCTCTGAGCCAGACGGGGGTGGCCGGAGGAAAGGCTGCCGCAGGCCTGCCGAGACCTTCCGCGGCCTCCGTGCTCTCAAGAAACAAGCAGAACTGGCCTGGCCGAGTGGATGGCCAATCTGGGAACACACTACTGTCCATCCCTGAGGGTAAGCAGACCAGGAAACGCACCTGAGACACCTCCTGATTCCTCCCAGGAAAAGCCCGGGTTATTTATGTGATGGGTTTACCTCCCCCCGACCCCACCCCACCAGGTTCGGAAGAGAATTGGCCCCCCATTGTGGAAACACCATCAGCCCGGGGAGACAGGGTGCCCGAGGACAGACCCCGGGGACGTGCTCCCGAGAGAGGAGGCCCGTCAACCCCACCAGGAAGGGACCTCTCTGTGCGTGGAGCCGGCCTCCCGCGGGCAGGACACCCAGGACATGCTGCAGAGGCCATTCCGCCCAGCACCCTGCACTCAGGTGCTCACTCACTGCCTGCACCTGAACCACGTCTAATGGCCGTCCAGGGACCCTCTCGTGTCATGGGGGCCCCTTCCATCTACACACTGATCAACGCTGACAAAGAGGGATGTGTACAGGAATCCGGACGCACTCAGCACAGCCGGAGAGTATCTTTGAAACCACTCCCCATGCGTTCTGGAGACGTGTGCATCACCTTTGGAATGGGTGTCTTTTTTTAATTTTAGACTTTGGAGTGAATTCCTATATTTTTCTGCAAACGTAGATTATGCAAAAGCGCTTGTGAGTCCTCGTCTTGGTTTTTTTATGGAATTTACATCAGATTATTTTTACACTTTGGGATTATTTTGTGAACTTGTAGGTTTTAGGGTACCTTGGATTCTGAGCCATGCTTCCTATCAAATCCATACCAGAAAGCACTGGAGCTGCCGGTGTACCATTGTTCTGCCTCCAGGCTGCCCCTTCCAGCGCCTGCAGATGCGGTCTCAGGAGAGGAGATGTCCCCCGATCCCGGAGGCATCTGCAAGGCGCCTCCCTTGTTCCTCAACAGATATATCACCATATGTCCGTCCTTTTTGTTTCTGGTCGCCCCATCTGTTTGGTCGCAGTCTGAGCCAGGTCACTCTGAATAGCTCTCCCAAGCACAATAATTACCCCTGAGACTGGCAGAGAATTGGTTGGCTGAAACCCAGAAGTGAAATCACTTTCAGTCTATTCACTCCTTGAAGTCGGGGCCTAAAAAAGTAATTGGTTTTGTCTTTGGTGACTTCTTGGAGGCCCTCGCTGGCGCTCTCCCAGATTTTGTGCTCTTGTTGGGTATTAACTGCACTTCCAAAATCTCTCCTCATCTGTGCCTCCATTCTTTTACCACAAACTTAATTTGGACTTTCCAGAATGACCCCACCTCTCTTCATTTCTGTTTTAAAACGGGGAGCCCGTATGGCTTTGGCTGTTTCTCCAACGTCGTGTTCCCATTTTCCTCTCTGGGAATTCATGGCTCTGCTGAGAATCCAACACATCTTCCCGTTCAGGCTAATTTCCCCTCACCCTCAAGCGTGTGTCGCCGGGACCCACTGATTTGTGTGTGCTCACATTTGTCAGGTGTTCGTTCCCTTTAGTGCCTTTTATAGATACCTATTTTTACCAGATAATTATTGCCCCTTAATTGTTCTCAAATCTTTTTATTGTTGTTCAAGACAGATTTAAAATAGCAGAGTGGCACTTGATCCTGTACACCATCTTTCTGAATCTCATCCTCTCTCTTTTATTAATGAGATCGCCTCCCCTGGACGCCGTTTTCTTTTCAACATACATTTGTAAAGCCCCCAAATATGTTTTCCTTCCTTGAGGACACTCCAGACTCCGTTTGGCAGCCTTCACCTTTTCCTCATTTCTGCCTCTTTTCAGGAATCAAGATGCAGGGGAAACTACCAGATTAGCGGTCATAGTGCAAAGATTAGGAACACCTTTACTGCACTAGAAAGCAAGGCCGGAGAAAAAGAAACACAAGCTCCCCTCTATTTTGTTCACCTTGTCTTTTGTCTCATCTTTCATCATCCCAGCACTTTTGTCACAGTGACTGAACACATCATTCTAGAAAGCGGGTCACTAGGCAAGTGAGACCCAGCAGAATTTATGACCTGTTTGGTTCTTGGCTTTCCAGTCACCTACTCTCAATTTCTAGGTGCTCATTCTCCACTCTCTTATGTATTCCTTAGGTCTGAGGTTCACTTTCCAGGTTCCATCCTTTTATAGCCTCCCATTACTTAATCTCACATCCAAATCTCCAAAGATTTCAAAATGTCAAAAGTCACAAAAAACTATGACTGGAGTTCCATCACGTGAATGGAGGCCTCCTGGGGGTTAGACCCCAGAGTAGGAAATGATGGGGATGCTGTTGTCCCCCGTACAGTTCAGGGACCGGGGAGCGCCTTGGTCATCACACAGGCACACAACCAAAAGCACCAGGCCAGGAACAAGCCAGAAGCCGAGCTGCTCACAACGGCCCCCGCCTGGAAGCAGGCCAGCTGTCCATCAGCTGGCGAGCAGATAAACACACAGTAGTATGTACGGCCGTGCAAAGGAACAGATCTCGAAACACGATGCTACGTGAAAAAAAGCCACCTCGTGTGTGATTCTGTCGATATGAGATTCCTAGGCAGGCAGATCTGTAGACAGACAGCAGGTGTGGCCGCCAGGGCTGGATGGGAGAAGGGCCTCGGGAATCTGGGATGGCGGAAGCGTTTCCAAATGCATTGTGGCAATGGCTGGAGAACTCTATAAATTTACTAAAAATAACTGAGCTGTCCGTGTTCACTGATGAATTGAACGGCATGTAAATTATGTTTCGGTGAAGCTGTTGAAAAGAGAGAGAGGGGCTTCCCTGGTGGTGCAGTGGTTAGGAATCCGCCTGCCAGCGCAGGGGACACGGGTTCGAGCCCTGGTCCGGGAGGATCCCACATGCCACGGAGCAACTAAGCCCGTGGGCCACAACTGCTGAGCCTGCGCTCTAGAGCCCACGAGCCACAACTACTGAGCCCATGTGCCACAACTACTGAGCCCGCACACCACAACTACTGAGCCCACGCTCCTGTGCTCCACAACAAGAGAAGCCACCGCAATGAGAAGCCCGCGCACCGCAACGAAGAGTAGCCCCCGCTCGCCGCAACTAGAGAAAAGCCCGCGTGCAGCAACGATGACCCAATGCAGCCAAAAATAAATAAATAAAATAAACTTATTTTAAAAAAAGAGAGAGAGAAAGGGAAAAGCCAAGAGGACACAAGTCAGCATGTGTCTCCAACCACTCAGCTCAGTCCACTTCCCTAAGAGTCACCCCTTAGTTAAGGATTAATATTCCTCTGCTACCTTCCTCCTGAGCAGCTGAGATTTGAAGCCACAAACTGAGAAACAGCCCAGCAAAACCCATAGTCTCTGTACACAGGTCCTCGCCCCGTGATTGCTTGGGTACGTTTGAAACCAGAGAGGACCCTGGTGGCCTGGAAGCCCCAAACGAGGGATGACAAACAAATTCTCTCTCTGGGGGCACATCTTCACTGAAGTTGGAGGCAGTCATCTGTTTGTTAGAACTAAGGTCCATTCTGTTTACTACTGTTTCTTCCTACAAGCATAAGACGATGTCCTTAATTTTGCAAACTTCAGTGAATTCCACGTTGTTACCTCCCGCAGCTGGGACCAGGACTCTCAGTATTTTACCAAAATGGAAATTCTTAACTCAGCCAAGTCTTAGTTCAATTTACCAATGATCTCTGCACGACAAGTATCTTGACTCACTAATTTCCTAGCAGCTGTTCCTGGCCCGAGCACAGCCTGCGGCCGTGGGGGATGTTATGCTGTTCCTTGAAAAAGCCGAGAGTGTGCTCCACACCTGGGGAGCGCCCTCCCCGTCACCCACGCCGCTCTGTCCTGATTAGAGGTCAAGACAGGTCTTCTCTTCTGAAAGGTCCTAATGCTGGAGAAAAGGGCGGCCCACAAGTTTGCACGCAGCGTGCACAAAATACCGCAGTGGCGTTTGTGCTCAGGGGCTGGGATAAAGCTCTGCAGTAGGTAGTTTTCCCGCCATCAGAATTTATTTTCCTTCCTTCATCAGGAAGGCGTCCGCTGTAAAGTGACTTGCATCCCTGGTAAAGCATCATGTAATATGTCACGGGCCCATGTGGAGTCCGAAAATATCCCTGGGCGGGATCTCTGGCCAGTTACGTGAAAGAACCTTCCAGTCAACAATGCCCTCGCCCTAAACCCTGGCAGTTCCAGCGGAAGTTTCTACAGATACGTAACCACCGAAAAAAGAAGACGAGGACTCACTACCACGTTCCAGGATGTTTTACACTCAGAGCGGTTGCATCATAGTTATGTTATCATTGCCCATTTGACAGCCAACAGCCCTCCTGCCTTTGAAATCAATGACCGAGGTTAAAAAACAGTTTTACAACAATTAGCTGACAGCACCGACCTTCTAAGTTGACGACCACACAAAATGAGTACCTAGTGCCTTGTGTCGTTCGCTCCGTGTTTGGGGCACTGATGTAACTACGTTCTGCGTGGTTGCCGCTGGGGTCGTCTGCTGTCCCCCAGCCTCGCCCATCACTTTTCTCTCTAACTTCTCTCTTCTTTCTCTGCCCGTCCCTCTTCCCCCACCCCCTGCTTCCCTCCCTTCTCCCCTGGCCATTTGAGATGTCCCAGCAGAAGACGACCCCTCCCCCTGTGCCCTGGAGACGGGCCACGGGCGGCAGTGCCAGAACGGCACGGTGTGCAAGCCGGGCTGGGATGGGCCCAAGCACGGCATCACCAACTTCGACAACTTTGCTTTTGCCATGCTGACCGTGTTCCAGTGCATCACCATGGAGGGCTGGACCGACGTCCTCTACTGGGTACGTGCTGGGAACGGGCGGGGGCGGGGAGCCCGCAGACCTGCCGGCTTCTCCTTGACGTCCACCTGCTCCGTCTTCCCGTGATGTGGTCACACGCATACCGGGGAGGAACGGCCGATGAGGGCTTTCGATTTCTTCTAGGTCTTGCCTGAGAAACAAAGCCTGAGACTCGCACCCTAATGAGTCTCTCTCTGCCCACCAGCCCAAGACAAGTGTCACCTTTCGTTTGTCCTCCGTAGTGAGAAACGCTGGCTCGCGGCCCCGTGGGGACACGGCCGATCCCGACCCAAGGGTCCTCAGCTCCTGTTCCCTTGTAGGGCTCCTTCTGTTCCCATCCGTGTCCTGCCTCTGACCCCAAAAGAGAGCTGAAGGGCACAGAGTTCAATTTCTAGGGCTAAAGAGAAAACTCAGACCTGGGCTTCTAAGAAGAAACCATTTTTATTGAATCGTGTAGCATCGTGGCATGCTATCATGTTTCTATTTCCGTGTTAATCTTATCTCGTTATATCAGAATAGTCCCTCAGACAAATGCACTGCCATCCTTTTCACTGCTGACAAAACGCTCCGCTGGTTCTGCGATGCTTATGCAGAAACGCCCCTTCTCGAGTGCCAGCCAATCAGCAGTAAATCTCCTTTCACCTTAAAGATGCTCTTTTTATTATCCAGCAGCCAACACTACTTTGCCTGGTTTTGAAGTGCCAGCTTTTCATACAGCCTCTGCCCCATAAGCAAACACATCATACTTGGTCTTTCTCCATTCCGGCAGAGTCAAGTCCATTATTTGGAAAAACTCCAGAAAATGTAATTCTTTGCAGTATCTCCTGCTTCCACGTGAGAACTGACTTGCTAGAGCCCGGTGCTGTGCTCCAGCATTTGGGTGGGAAATGCTTGTTGCCAGGCTTGAAAATACCATCGCACCCAGAGTTTTGCAAGTAGTCAGATGGGTTTGGCCGCCCTGAAAACGGTCTAAGAGGCTGCTTGGGAGGGAGAGGGGTGTGGATGCCTTCCCGGCAAGCCGAGCTGCCAGACTGGGAAGAACTAGGAGGACCTCCTCCCGGACCAGGAGGAGTCCTGGAATGGCTCGGAGATGCTTTGCACGCTCTGGGCATTGTAGCTTCTGAATTGTTTTTCAGCAATTCAAAAGCCCTCTTCTGCCAGTTACTGGGGTGGAGTCGGCAGGCTGAGACCCCGCGCTGCCGTGAAATGTGTACGTCTCTGTGCAGGACCAGCTGAAGCTTGCCCTCGTGCCTTGTACCCCAGAGACAGTACTGAGCATTCCTTGCTTGCCAGGGGTGCCCAGGTCCTCAGGACTCAGACACAGTAACATCCAGCTCAGTGTAGGCAAGCTGACTAGACCTAAACTGAACAACGGCAGTGCCGCTAGAGCCCCATAGAGTGGCCACGCTGTGACACTTTCAAAAAAGGCCAAGTATCTAATCACTCCTCCCTGAAACTGAGGTGGAACGCTGGAACCCATCTCCCAGGCTCATCCTCAATAAGAACTTGGTTTTGAATAATTTGTGAGACAAGGGGCGTTGAGCTTACTCAACCTGGTCAAATTTAATTTCGTTTAGTAAAGCAGATCGAATTCAGAAGTGGCCCTAACGGGTCCTTCTATCTTGGGTGAGTCCCTCTGGCCAGCCAAGGACAGAGACATCCTTCTGCAAACGGGCAGCACAGAACACATGACTGTGTGGAACTGGGCTTTGGAGCCTCATCACATGAGCTTCAAACCCGCGCCTCAAGTTGCTATGGAAACGCCTCCCATAGCATCCAGTTGAGGGCAGGGTGGCAGTGGGTGGGTGGGTGTGGGGCTAGGGGAATAGGTATAATTTACTTTGCTGATGTCCCTGATATATTTTTGGGATCCTCCTTCATCCCTCCCTCCCTCTCCCCCCACCAGCCAGATGTGACCCAAGGAGGCGCTGTCACGGTGACAGCCAGCATGGGGGCTGCAAAGGAGCACGCATGGCAACCGGCAATTTTCAGCAGCTGTGTTGTGCTTTTCCCCCTGCGGGTGGTGGGTGGGTGACGAGCTCGGGCCGGGAGTAGGGAGTGTCTGAGGTAGGGGACAGTCCCAGGCCCATGGGACAGCCTCGCCCTGACCTTCCCTAAATGGCCGAGCCGTGTGCGCGTGTGTGTATGTGTGGGCACACACGTGTTCACGCATGCGCACCTACACACACACACACACACACACACACACACACACACACACACACACAGACCCCGAAACGGAGCATCCTGGCGGGTGTTCTCGAGGAAAGCCCCGCCCAGCCCAAAGCGCCTGCCTGCCTGCCTGCCTGCCGGCCGTTCTGCTGGCTCTCGCCTCTCTCGCCTCTCTCGCCTCTCCTTGTCCTTCCTTCTCCCCTCCCCCTGCGCCTTCCTCGCCTTCAGGATTTCTCCTCCAAGCCCCGAGACTCTCACGCCTCCATGTGCTTTCGTGTAAAACACGGAACTTTCTACACAGGGAGGGGCCCACGCTCCCCCTATCCCCAGCCGTGGAACCAGACGCTGAGAGTCCGGCCCCAGCACCTGCACCTGCAGAGGCTCCCGGGAGATTCCAGCTAGGGCTCGAGTCCCCTGCAGCCTAACGTTCCCAATCGCACGGTGCTGCTTTGGTGCCACTGGCTTGAACCCAGCTAGGGAGATGGCTTCTGTGGAGGGTGGGCCCAGGGTCCTCCACTCGTAGGAACGCGTTTCCCCCCGAGTCCCGGGGGCAGGCCTGCAGGACGTGGGGACGGGCAGCCACAGCTCCAGGTGTCGCAGAGACTGGACCCACCGGCTGGATAGACGTCCCTGGGGAGCTGACAGGCCACTGGAGCACCGAGGCGCTGAAGCTGGCTCGGGGTGGGGGGACCGTTGGCAGGCCCCCAACTCCTCCTGGGGTGGCCTTGAGTCTGAATCCATCAGCCCATGCCACGCTCCCGACTTGGAAGGGTTCGTGGACGGCCAGCACGAGCAAGCCTGGGCAGTAGTACTTGGACGATTCCTCAGCTGTTCACACCGCCCGCTGGGACGGGCTCCCGGGCAGCCCCTGTGCTTGCCTTCCCCGTGGCCCGTTCCAGGAGTCTGCGGGTGACGGGGCGGGGGCACACGGGGATTTGGGGACCAAGCCAGAGCTGGGCCTTGGGGGTGGGAGTTTCTTGGGAAATGGCTTCTTAAGCCAAAGCCTGTCCGCTTACTATCAGAATGTCCACACCTCTTAAAAATAGCGGGGAAAGCGATGGAGTGAAAGGTGTGGGCTGCCTCTGGGAGCAGTTGTGAGAGAGGGAAGCCCCGTCGGACCGTCCCCCGTGGATGCCACATCTCCAGGTCTCCTCTCCGGTGTGTTTTGCCCCACCCGGTGGCGTGTCACTCCAGGCTGCTTTCTTGTGTCTTTGGGGCTCTGGTTTCCTGAACCGAGACAATCTGTAGGTTCTCAGATGCGGCCCAAGAGCTGGGGTCCATGTGAAATCTGAGCACCCTCTCCACGTGTAGCCAGGTCACACCAGCACGCGCTGGGGTCTGCTCATCGCTGACTTTCTACCCACCTCGGGTGGCCCCTGCTCGTGGGGACAGCTGCCTGGCCCTGACCTGAGGGGGAGGGCTCCCAGGGAGGGTGGCCGGCAAGGGGGCTCCTACCGGGGGTCCAGGCACCCAGTGCTTTAGGAATCTCGGTGCCTCACCAACTGTCCATCAGGGGGATTCTGTTGACCTCTGCCCACGATGCCCTCTGACCTGGGGCCCCTGGGATGCTGTATCCCGTGTGGCACAGGGCAGCCCTCTGGCCTGCGTCCTGGGGTCACCTCCTCCACTGGCACCCAGGCCCCCTCTTTCTGACACCTCCCATTTCCCCAGTTGGTTCCTCCATGACCAGCTCTTCCGCTTGTTTTTAAAAATTAGAAATTCAGCTTAAAACAAGATTAGAAAGAATACTCCATGAGAAATCATATAAAGGGAAGATGCGTCGTCTGTCGTACCTGCCTTAGTTTGGTTC